GTGGTCCAACCTAGCTATCGGTATCGGCAAAATCCACTATCGGTCGACCTGTAGTTATTATGATTTTATTGTGTTAGTTAGCTGTATTCCTTAGTTATTTTTAACCTAATCAAAATAACCCAACTGCAGTTTGATTGAGATTATGGAAATAAGTTTCCACAAAAATAATGGGAAATTTAGATGCATTTTTAATTTAGTGATTTTCTTTAATAAGTTAGATGGAGCGCAACAGAATGCAGGGGCTTGAGAGGGTCTCAACTTGACACGACGTAATAAAAATATGACCCTGTGTGCGGAACTGAAAATACAGGGTGAAAGCAGCTGACAAAAACAGAGGTGCACGCTTATTAAGATAATTACGATAATCTGCAGGACAAGTGGAGAGAGCGCTTTTCTGAGTGTTCTTTAATTGAGTTGGCCAGTGAGTCTTCACATACTGTAATGACAAAACATGATGCTTTATGTTTTGAATTTGCTGTTTTTTTATTTTTTCAAGCATGCAAGGTGCTGAAAAAAACATGATGCAATGCAACAGTGTATTTTGCAATATGGAAATAAGCTATAGATAAATAACTATTATAGATAAACAATACTGTAAACAATAAAACTATTTCCACTACAAACCAGTGTGTTTATGATTACAACATTAAATTTAAATATTGTGATGATAAACATCAGTTTGCAATTTAAAGGAGGATAACGGACTGTTTTTGTACGTCTAAAATAACTGGAAGTGAAAAACACCAGAAGTCTCACACATTAAAGTTACAAATGTCAAGGTGGATACAGTATGTAGGCTACATCAATGCCAAAATTGTTTAAAGAAAAAAATAGTTCACCACAAAAATTTACTAACCCTCAGGTCATCCCAGATGAGTTTGTTTATTTCTCAGAACAGATTTGGAGAAATTTAGCATTCCATCACTTGCTCACCAATGGATCCTCTGCATTGAATGGGTGCCGTCAGAATGAGAGTCCAAACAGCTGATAAAAACATCACAATAATCCACACCACCCCACTCCATCAATTAACATCTTGTGAAGTGAGTGATGTGGATTTTTGTGATGTATTTATCAGCTGTTTGGACTCTCATTCTGACGGCACCCATTCACTACAGAGGATCCAGTGGTGGGCAAGTGATGGAATGCTACATTTCTCCAAATCTGTTCTGAGAAAGAAACAAACTCATCTTGGATGGCTTGAGGGTGAACTGTTCTTTTAATCTGTTCATTTAAAGGTCTATTAGCGCATCCAAAAAGCAAGTTTAAGTTGCCAGCATGCTGCCATTGCAGTCACTCTCGTTACTGCGGTTGACAGGCGGCGCATGAGGAATAGCAGCGTGCCAGACTACAGGCATTTCTGTAAAACGAAGTCATTTATAGCACATAAAAGGCTACGAAATGATGCGCAGGTGTCTTAGAAGCACGCTGCCACCCTCACACATGCATTGGGGCGCTGCGGTGTTCTTTCATGCTGTCTGCGCAGTGTCAGAGCTGGCATCCACAGAGACGCCGCGCGTGTGGAATGACAGCCCGGGTTTTCCCACTGTTTCTACAGTATGTTGCTAGGCAACCCCTGCCACGAAGAGCCGCCGGAGTGCCATTCGCCGCCTTCCTCGTCTCGATCACGCATCATTAACCCGACAGCACCTCTCCTTGCTTACCGCCCATCAAATCCGAGGGGCTCGCAGACGCGAGAGCCCACCACCACTGAGGTTAACAGAGTGTGAAAGTAACGCCAGGAATGAATACAAATCATCTTGAAATATGCTCGCGCTGCTTGCGGTAATGGCTTCCCCCTCTTGAGCATTATTGCTCTATTTGTACGAAGTCAAACACTGTCTCCCCAGGCTTGTGTGCCGCCTCATTGGCCAGCGATCTGCATCTAGAGACCATCTTTTAAGCCGTGATCTCCTTTCAGAGAGGGTTTACAGCTGTGGGAGCGTTTGCACACCTAGAAGTCATCGCTGAGAATGCGAGACGGAGCACAACAGATACACAGTTATAGGCGTATTAACTCTCACACGCTGTTGCTAATGTACACAAAAAGACAGAAACAGCACAGGGTTTGATGAACGTTCCCATTGTCAGTCATTCAGGGGTTTAGGAGGAACAGGATTTGTCCTAATTCCTCTTCATTCCCTAACTGTGCTTTGCCAAGTTGCTGATCACCAAATATGCAAGTTGATGCATGTAAATATGCGGCCATTTGCAGTATTCTGTGGTTTTTGTTGTTTAGTTTAGTGTTTTTAAACACAAAAATTCCATTGTGAACACATGTCGATATCCAAAAAGGACCAAATCACCATAAGAAGAAGCATAATAAATTTCAGTCTGTTCCTCACACAAACTGTTAAGTAGGGCTGGACGATATGGCCAAAATTGATATCACGATATATTTCTTAATTTCGGTCGATACGATATAATTCCGATATCGATATGCACTATTTATCTGAAATAGAAATCTTTTGTAACATTATAAATGCCTTTATCATCACTTTTGATCAATTTTAAGCATCCTTGCTAAATAAAAGTATAATTTCTATAATTTCTTTCCCAAAAAAAAAAAAAA